CAGAACCAGGTCCAAGATTCCTCAGCCCCTCCACACTGAGGAATTGCCCTCATCAACTTCGCTTCAGAAACAGCCCTGCTGCAGGCATCACTGGCATCTCTAGGTGCCACATCTGAGCTTAACCAGCTCCCTTCTCTTGGTGCTGCTCTCTCATGCTGCACACACTTCCCTTGTCTCCTCTTCCCTCCACTCCACCTCCACACTGTGACCCCACCACTTCCCTGGGCAGCCTGTTCCAGTGCCTGACAACCCTTTCAGTGAGGAAACTGTTCCTAATATCCCATCTAAAACTCCCCTGACACAAATTGAGGCCATTTTCTTTCATTCTATCACTTTTTACTGGGGAGAAGAGACTAACCCCCACCTTGCTACAACCCTAACCTTCAGGTAGTTGTAGAGAGCAAGAAGGTCTCCCCTCAGCCTCCTTTTCTCAGGCTAAACTACCCCGGTTCCCTCAGATATTCCTCATGAGACTTGTGCTCCAGACCCTTCACCAGCTTTGTTTCCCTTCTCTGGATGTGCTCCAGCACCTCAGTGTAGTGAGGGGCCCAGAACTGGACACAGTATTTGATGTGTGGCCTCCCCAGTGCTGAGTACAAGGGGACAATCACTGCCCAGTCCTGCTGGCCACACTATTTCTGACACAAGCCAGGATGCTGCTGGCCCTCTTGGTCACCTGGGCACACTGCTGGCTCAGGTTCAGCCAGGCAGTCAGATGAGCACTCAGATCTGAAACAGCTCAGCCTAAGAGGATGTTTTTGGATTTTTCCTGTTCACTTTTCCTTGTTTGTTTGCTTTTGTTTGTTGTTTTGTTGGGGGTTTTTAAACTGCAGTTGGGCACTTTTTACTTCAGCCTTCTCCTGGGTTTCTGTTTTATGCCTCCACATTTTTTATGCTGCCACACCAGCACTGCAGCAGAGGGCAGGAGGTGTGATGTGGTGCTGGGGGGTTCATTCCCAGCTCATTTGTGTGTTATCCTGCTCAGAGAGGCAGCCCAGCCACTGGAGAAAGAGCTTCCCAACCAGACGTGAAAGCCCAGATGCAGACTGAGATTCTCTGAGTCGCTGTATTCACTGCAGTTCAGTCCCTGCACACAAAATCTGATTCACTCGAGTCTATTTTACATGCTCTGGCACGTAGAATGACTAATTCAGAGCTGAGTTAATTCTGTAGAGGGGCTGGTAGAGTCAAAACTGCAGACTGAGAGTGTGCTGGGTACTACATGATATTGCAGGCTAAATTAGCAGGGCATTGACTTAAAAGGTAGCAGATCATTACAGAAAAAAACTGAGTCTTGAAAAAATGGTGAAGCATTGCTCTCTGTGGGGTGTTTCTGATCACACCTTTGGCACAGGAGTGTTTCTCTTGCACATCATCTTTTATTCCTCTGCTTTTAGTGACCAATGGTTTTGTCATTGCAGAGCTTGCTTTGAGTTATTTTAAACTCCTTATTGTACGTCTACAATATGCAATGTAGCAAAGACAAACCTGCACTAGCCATGAAGGAACTAGCTTGTTTGGACTTCTAGGAGTACAGCTTTGTTGCCTTTTCCAGGAATTAATCTTCAGGCAAAGCACAGAGAGCTGCAGCTGCCTCAACACTACACTGTACTACACACTGCAGATATACCCTTTGGGTCTGTAATGAACTCTTCTTCAACCTCCCCTCTTCACTACATCCAAACACTACTGCTGAAGTAATTTCCTCTCCCATACCTCCAGCCACAGCTTGGAAGAGGCTGTCCTGCTCTTTTTTTTTCAGCATATGATGCTTGGTCTTGCATGCTGAAGTCTCAGGTACCCTGCCTGGCTGCTCCTGCCTGCCAGGCTGCCACCTCCACTCACTCCTCTTCCCTTCTAGGGGCCTTTCTGCACACTCCCTGATGCTCCTGACCTTGTGCCTTGTCACATTGGACCTACACTTCTTTGCCCCCTCCGTTCACACGCTCCTCTGGGGAATGATCCTTCCTCCAGGAATTCCCATGTCCTTCTCTTTTCCAGACATTCTCTTTGGCTGAGTTTTCTTCCTGAACTATTGCTTCATGTTTTTCCTCACACTCATTTATCTTGTAAACTTTGAGTTCTGTGCCTTGATACCAAATGTCTATGGGAATTAAATTAATTAAGTACATATTTATTAGCACTGGGGGACGGATGGGAAGGAAGGAGAAGGCAAGAAGGGAGGGAAGCAAGTGGGGTGGTGTCTCTGCAGAATGATCCCTTTGAGACATTGTTCTCTCAAGTGATCTTTGAGAGCCTTTGAGAGCTACAGGGTTTGAACCTGGACTTCTGGATTACCAGAACACAGGAGACAGCAGGTATAAGCCAGATGAAAGCATCCTTTTGGCTGCACCTGCTCAACACCACTACATCTTCACCCACTGAAGGTCTACCCTCTAGACCAAAGCACTGGAGATTTCAGAGCACGCCTCCTTCACCAGCCACCTTTACAAAAGTGCTCACAAAATGGTTTCATCTTTAGCAGCACCAAGCTGTGCAGATCATTGCAAAATAGCCCTCTGCTCTAAACGACAGCTCTGAGATTTGTGCAGAGCTGAAATTATCCTGCTAAACTGGGCTAGAATGTTTTTAAAATCCATTCAATGCAAAATATATATTGATGTATTTACATTGGATGATGTATTTCTGGCATTAAATTGCCATCAGAAGTGGAGAGGGGCTCTGCAGTCCTTGCTACAACCATGATCAATACAGCCAGCTTGTTCTCTCCCCTTTTGTGGCCATCCTCCAAAAATAAGCAGCCTTGCCTGATGAATCACTTGCTCTTAGCTGAGCGTGAAGTAGCGTTACTGTTTTGCCTGTGACGTCTTTATGTTAAAGATTCTGATCAACTGCTTTAATCGACCTGACCTTTCCTCTCTCAGCTTTTCTTGTGGAGCCAGCACACATTAATTCGAGGGGGTTTGAAGGACATAATGCAGTGAGACAGCTGAGACAGGGTAAATTGTCTAGCAGAGCTAAAAGGGGAGGTTTCTCTGAATAGGTCAGTAATTGTGCAGGTTGCGAGGGGAAGCTTTTCACACGTTGACTGCTGCCTTTGCACTGTCTACTCTGGAGAGGTGGATTTGCAATCTTCAAGGCAGCTTCTAGGGCAAGACTTGAGGGATGTGCCATGTTAAAGATCAGAGTCCCATCGTGTGGCATTGGAGGGTCTGAATGCTTTAAAATCTTGGTTTGCTGAGGATGACAAAAGGTGAGCTCCCAGCAACAGCAGGAAAGCTCAGCTCCACTCCCTTGCATGCACTTAACAACTCAGCATTTGTAAACCGAGGAGTGAAGCTAATTCTCTAACATGTCTACCAGTCGACAGGAAACAAAATCATTTGCTCTACATCCTACATAGTGAAAAATACATGGTGTTTTTCATATCATCTTGTGAGATTGGGTGGCAAATCTAGCTCTGATCTCTGCCTGCAGGGAGACAGACACAACCAGAGGAACACATGTAAAACATTTTCAAGTAGGAGACACTGTAGCCTAAGGCACCTACTTCTTTTGGCCTCCATTATTCAGAATATACTCACTCTCTTAACACCTAGAGGAGGTAGGAAAATACCTGCATATTGTTTAGCCAATGAACTATTAAGTGGCTTGTCCAAAATGACATGAGAAATCAAAGAGAGAGCAAGAAGCTGAAGCCTAGGCCTTGAGCCTGTTAATTCTGCTAATGACAGGATCAAGCCATGCTTCTGCTCAGCTGATTAAAGATATTTCATAACACAGAGTTAAACACAATGATGGGTGAATTCATTCCAGCATCATGCCTGTAGCATATTCCCTTTGTGTCTCATGCCACCATGCAAGGTGGCTTTGAGCATGGCTGAGCTGGCTTCATACTTTTGCTCTGTCCTTGCCCGAGTTGATAAGCCTGCATCCCACCCCGTGCTGCCAGGCCTGGCTCACCCAACATGGCCAAACATTTCATTGCCTTCAACTGAGTTATCTGCAGTCTAGTTAATCCACAGTTTAGGAAAACTATCCACAGATCACTGAAGGACGACTAGAGTTTGTGTCTTCCATTTCACAACAGTAGCTCGGCTGTCATCCAAGTCCTTCTCAACAAGGGTACCAAGCTCTGTACACTCTGATTGCAAGGCCTTGAATACACAGCATGTGAAAGCTGTGAAAAAAACCTCCCCAAAATATTAAAAGTCAAACAATAATTGTCGGTGTCCTATTTCCACTCAAAATAAGTTTACATTTCTTCTACTCTTCCTCTTTCCAGCTTTCCTTTCCCGACTCCTGTCACAGAATACGCAGCTGTATGGAATTGTCATATTCAATTAAACAAATGGTCTGTCTAGTACAGGACACACTGCATGCAGCTCCAGATGGAGATCTTAGAAAGATGTTGCTGAAGTATTTGGAAATCAGGAAGTTTTTCCATACTGTATTAATTAGATTTGGCTAACAAAACATGAAAGAATATAGCTTCTGAAATTTCTTATTCCTTTTTACCATCTATGCTATTTAAATTCAGGTTGTTTTTATGCTCCTGGTAAATGCCCTGGATTGTTGGATGCCTTTTTGCCTCACATAGATTTGAGTTCCAGAGATTAACCACGTCTTTGTGCAGGAAAAGAGTACCAATTTTAAACACGGAACTGCTTACTCTCCTGGAGTATCTCTTCCTAATGTGAAAGCACAAATAAAACTTTTCCCTAAGAATTTTTCGTATCTAACTCATCTATCATCTCAGACAAACAGTTCCACCCTTCCCAGACCTGTTTCACATGGAAGTTCACCCAAGATTACCATTCTTGTTTCACATTGTTCCCACCTAACGTTTGGTTATACTAGCAAGTGAAAACAGTTTGTTTTCAAAGAATGAACGATAACACCTCCTCTCTGTCCTTCATCCTGCCCTTCTCACCTGGGAAAGCAGAAAAAAAAACAAACCAGGAAATCTGTTTTATCCTTACAAAGTCTTACATGATACTCCTGAGTAACCTGTGGTTAAAACAAGCACTTACAAGACCATGAGGAACCTCTTTATGAATCCCCTTCTACATCATCCCAAAGAACAGGAGAGCATGGGGCTGGAATTTCAAAAGCAGGTAGGTGCCCAGCATCCACTGGGATGCAATACTCCCACAAAGCAGACTTTAAAGGCTCCGGTTTATAAGATACAACAGAAAGCCCACAGCATGCCCTCAGAAGAGAATCACATTACATAGCTCCTCTTATCCATGCTAATCTGTCTTTATCTCCTGCAGCCTGTTTTGATGAACGTGACTCTCTGAATAGCCACAGAGCATGATAATGGTTTTGTGCCTATCTTCCCTGCTGTCACGCCATGTTTGCACATAAATCATCTGCACGCTGCCACGAATACATGAGCCTGACAAGTGCTGTGTAAACCATCCAATTGCTTTTTAGAAATGAACAGCAGATGTATTTCATTTTTAAGACTTCAGAACCACAGAGATGGCGATTTCATGAGCAAAAATGTAAGCCTCTCCCCAGCAGAGCCAGGCTGGCTTTGCTATCTGGATACCAGAGGGCAAAACATTTTGTATACAACTGGCATCTAAAGTCCTACCAACGTTGGCTTACAGAAGTCACTCTTTGGAAACAAATGTTTATTGCAGGAATATCTACCTCCTATTTAAGTAAGAGGTCAGGCAGTACTTGATGAGTAGCTAAAACTTGACTTCATTAACACATTTTATATGTTAAAAAGAATGTGTATGTTAATAACATGCTTTAATAACATCCCCTGCCACTGAAGGGAGAGAGGAAGCGAAGGCATTAGTCTTTGAAGTCTGATCCTCAGGGCTTGACTATCATATGTCAAGGCCATTTTGGTGCTACTCTCGGAATATAAAACAGTATATGTCTAGTCAGAGCATATTAAAAGGATCTTAACTAAATTGAAAAAAAAAAACACCTTGACTTCCTTCTGGTGGTGTCGAGTGGGCATCCGCAGTTGTGGCACTCCCTATACACGTTTGCATACATGCTCCATTGGGTATTTTAATGCACATTTTAGATTATTTCAACAAGTTGTCTTGGGTGTTGTGGGCCAGTCTATATACGCTGGGTGCATGTTTCACTGCTACACATGTTAACAGGGAGTTGTTTGGTGCTGTGACTTCCCTGGATGCAGTTGAATTTTCCCTTGCGTAAGCACCCTTAGTTTGTCTGTTATGGCGTCTCTTTCTTTTTTTGCCTTGTATTTTAACTGCATTGTGTTTATCTAAAGCTGATGAATGAGCAAAAAGAAATCATTGGCCTTTACACCACAAACAAAAACAATCCAGATGATACCAAGTATACTGAAGATTTACAATCCACTAAAAATCCAAACAAGCAGTAAATCTCATAACAATCAAACCAGCTATCATCTAAAATAGTAAAACTAAGCACAGCCCAAATTTTTTACTTCTTATTCTTGACCTCAAAGTCAGCTAGGCTTCTGGCACAAATCCAGGCAGTTTAGTTGTGTTTAAAATGCACTACCATGTATTGGATGGCTCAACAGGCTGTTGAGATGAACTGAGTTTGTGGCCTTGGACTGAAAGGTGCCTGGATAGCATTTAACATTGTAGTTGGCAACAAGAGCAAAAGAGACAATTCTTCCTTTGGAAGCACTTTCTGGACCCGTAAGGTCTCTTGGAGGAACATGCAGAGGCTATGATGTCTGAACCTGGGAGGTATCAAGAAATTTTATCCATCAGTGGTGTAGGTAACATTTGTCTGTAATGCTTCAGTATCAGTGATTACTATGGGGGACCCAGCTTTAGAACAGAGCTCTTAAGAATCAAGGTTATCACCTTGCTACAAATGTAAAATATCTCAGTGGAGTTTTCCTCCAAACTGGAGCTGAGAGTCAGTATTTCAAAAGTTCTAGAAAATTCTGATTTAAAGACATTGCAATATTTCATTTTGATAACATTTGAGTCATCTCAGTTCTCTAACGTCAAAACATTATCATAGAACATATCAAATAGAGTATTAAGATAGATTATATCAGGGAAACAAAATGAGTACAGTAAATTGACATTCTTTACTTTGTTAAAATGATGTTTCTATAGTAGACATTTTCCTGCAAACCTCTTAATTTTTGACAAAACTTCATTCTCAGAAAGGAAGATTCTTTTGTCAGAAATGTTCTCAACCATCACATATTTTGAAGCACACAAGAATTAAACAATGAACGTTGCCTCCCCATACCTGAATGTTCAAGTGAATCTATATTCCCACATTCTTTACCAGTTCCCTTAAGTTAATTTGCACAGCTGCAATTTACACTGAATGTAGGAGACCTGCTTCTCATACCTCCAGAGAAAGAATGCAAATCCCTGCTCCAGAAATCTTGCTTGAATAGGGCTTGATAACATTTTTCCAGGCAGGAACTCCTCTTTAAGCAAAGGCTCTTCAGCTTTAAAAACTTATTACCTGTTCTATACAATTATTACCCCATCTTACTAACATGAATATAGGCTGCTAACTAATGCTCCCAAAATCAAACCTGTAAACTCAAGTCAGTGCCCATCTACTGTCCCTGTAGGGCCCATTGACCACGCAGGTTGCCCAGGAGCATGTGTAAGTGGCATTTCTCAAGCAACCCAGACGTTCTTAGGGATGGCCCCTAAAGCCAAAATACCTTGAAAGGGACTCGTGGGTCCTAGTTGGACACAGAGAAATGACTAGAAATCTAAGAAGGCTCTGCCAACTTGGTGCTCCACATTGTGCAATTCTGATGCTTAGTGATACAAAGGGAAGCATGAGACAGGCAGAAGGAGCACGCAAGGGAACGTTGCCCTGGTACAGGTAAATACCTGGGGCACAGCTCTTCTGAAAACTCTGGTGTCAGTTCTAGAGGGAGAACACGCAAAAAACCCCAGCTCTGAGCAGGAAACTATGTGGGTTCTGTCTGTCCCTGTCAAAGAGCTGTGTGGGCTTTTTCTCCTGCAAATAGTTCTGCAGTCTCTAAAAAAAGAACTTAGCCTCTCTGTTCCTGACATTTGAGTTTTATAAGGAGTATTTCTGAACTGTGGGGAGGAGATCCAGCTGGATGGGAGGTGAGAATCTGAGTGTGTTCCTATCAGTCAAACTCTGAGAATTATGCTCTTTTCTGGGGCTTTTTGCCATCCCCTAAATAAACTAACCTACAGGGCTAAAGAAAAGAATTTTAGCAAACCTAATAAAAAATTAATGATTTGTGACAGGCTGTTTTATTAGGCCTGACTGATCTGTTAGTTCCACCTAACTGACAGAACTGGTAAAGCCTTGAGATGCTCTGATAAGAATCCAGAAATCCAGATGTGTTTTTCTTTCCGGACATAAATGGTTTATGTCTGAGTCAATAAAACAGTCATCAGAAAAGCAAGAAGGAACCAGTGTAGAGTCTCCACGAAGGAGACAGAAGAGTAAGTCCCCTCAAGCATCTAAATAACACACCTGAGTCCTCAGTCCTGCTCTGTGGTGCACAGACTGGCAGACCCCAAATGTTCAGAGATGCAACACAGAGGTCTCAGCTATACAGAGCCTGATGCCAAATGACTGCAGCCCCTCTGTGCTCCCTGTGCCTGCAAATACTCTACTGAGTTGCTGCATTACCAGGTTTATTCCTCCAGTATCACATTTAAACCACAATCTCTTCTCCCACATTTAATCCTACCAGAGATACTAGCCCAGCAAAGGTGCTGATGTGAAGTAGGAGGGCACTGAGCAAGTGTTATCAGGTGCCCAGTATGTTTTTGGCTTATGGTGTTTCTGTATTTTTGCAGTGGTCTAGAGGACCATTAAACCAGGGAGATAGCTCAGCAGTCTTAAGAAGTGTCCTTCAATGATGCCTTGCTGCATTCACCCTTCTCACGCAACTCTTTCAGGCAGTTGACATAAACAAGCTAAAAATTGTGCAAATTAGGCCAGGGACCTCCTGAGAACACGTGTATAGGCTATAGTGCCAGAACTGTTGTAGAGGAACATCTCTTCTGCAACCTGTGACCCTTCAGCACTTTCGCTTCCAGAGTCAGCCAGGAAGAAAAGTCCAGCATCTAAACGTGTCTTAGGTTGGATAACTTTCTGTCTGAGATTAGTATCAGCTGCATCTTTCTTTCCCATAAAACCAAATGAAGATCCTGTCCATCTTTCTGGCTCTCCTTGGTCAAATATCACATCAGATTCTCAACTACAGATGTATGCACAAAAGCATACATGAAATCCGAGATACATGGCAAGCCTTCCCACACACCGTAGGGGAAATGTGGGGAAGGGAATAAAACCATCCTGGAGTGCCCAGTGACAATGAGCATTTCCAATTGCAGTGCCTGGCTGGCAGAGGGGAAAAGGTGCTGGCACACAGTTTGGCTTTGGAGGAAAAATGCACTATGTGGAAAGGGGTGCACAAGGCTGATGAGATGGGACATGGTCAGCTTTAGGGGACACTTCTCCCTTACTTAGCTACAAAGCCTGGCCTTGTCCAGCAAAGGCTCCATTTTGTGGATCTCAGTGTCACACCCTGCTAAATCACCCCTGAAGTCACAGAAAACATCGTCCTCCAAAATCACTGCCAGCTCAAGATGTGAGGGTACACAACTGCATGCGTCAGCATTTAGGATCATTATTGTAAAAGGTTACAGAAGAGACCCAGGTTAATGGAGGTAATCTGTGATTATCTGATGTAACAGATTGCCCTGCCAGTGACTCATTCCTTCTGCCACAATATACTGTGGGTTGCAGCTGCAAATAGTGAGCAGGATGGAGCTGGCTTCCAAGCTAAGACTCTCCCTGTTGTCTGGAGAAACCCCTCTAAGAGAGGGTGCCAAGCCACCACCAGTGTGTGAAAGCCCAGCAGAGCTTTACGGAGGGGAGTGGGTCGTAGCAGTGTGCTACAGTCACTCATTCACGGGTGTTACTATAGCTACCAGTTGAAGGACTCAACAAGAAGAGCAGAAATAAAAAGAGAAAATTAGGAGGTAGAAGACAAAAAAAAAGAGGAAACTTGTAAAGCAAAGGAGAGGGTTCCTCTGATTAGTTAATGAAGTGCTGCTAAAGCAGGGACTGAAAAACGAGGCTTGAAGGCTGCATGGCATAAGTGTCAGATGAT